GTATTTCGATTCTACAGAGCTATACTATCAAAATATATAATTTTTATTAAATTTAGTTGTCAAAGTCGTGAAAATTTTGAGTTAGTAGCATCACGTGACTTGAACTGTCCCTAAGAACTGTCCGTAGATCATGTTGTCATACAGTTAACCAATCAAATTAATTAAAAATATGTGATACTAACACATGAGTTGATTAGTTATTCATATTGGGAAGATTGAAGATCAAGGAACATAGTGATATCTTCATGATAATCACATCACATGATTAAGTGTTCGGCCTACGTTAGGGTTAGGGTTAGGTGATAAGTTAGTTTAGGCCAATTTGTTTAGTGCTAGTAAAAAAATGACGTAACTGCATTATTTTTATAATCACTGGGTTTCTTGTTCTTCAAGTGTCCCCTGATATTATCAGTTTAAATCGGTCCAATCCCGATTCGAGTTGCACTGAATAGAAATCTTATAAATTCTTTTTGACGAATTATATTTTAAAATTAGAGCTATGGCCTCCCGGCGAAGGGTTTAAAAAAAAAATTTTCGAGCTTAAATAACAAATTTTAATTTAACTAATGAATTTAATAAATTTCGAGTATTATTTAAACTTTTATTTCGAGCACCGGTGAATTTTCTTTTTAAAAATGTTTATTATCGATTTAATTGGATCAACGATCTGCGTAAATTTTTTTGGGTCCAGTGAGGGCCCCGAACAATGCAAGTCGAGGTTACATTGGTTTATTATCGACTTACTGCAATTTTGATTGATTAAATAAGGTCAACCAATCAGAAATGCAGATTTTGGATAAATTTATAAAAATCTTATAGCTGTTTTCTATTTCAATATTTACTTTAGTTGTGTCGATGATCTGCATACCTATAAAAAAATCCATCCATGTTTCTACGAAAAAGCATGATGATCTGTGGAACGGCCTGAAAACCGGGTTTGCATGTGTGAATTCCGTGTTGGCACTAATTACATTGTATAATATTAGTAATTCTTGGGTGTAAATTTTTTTTGCCAATCTCACCGACCAAAAATTTTGAGGGGTCTTATACGTTACATACGTACGAGCTTTTATCTCATATTTCCTTTTTTATAGTTTCATAAGTTCGCGAGGCTTATCAAGCATTCCTTACTGTATTAGGAAAAAATGAGATAGAGATGGGAGTAAATAAAAAATAAAAGTATATCTTTGTACATATTATTAAATAAATATATATATATCGAATATTTATAAATTTTATTTGATTGCTCGAAAATAAAGTTTAAAATCAACACAGTTAAATCTAAAATTTAATATAGACAATTTTTTCGTTGCTATTTGGAATTTGATCCTTATCCTCTTCATTTTTCAAGGATGTCACGCTTCAAGAGTGTTTCATTTACAACATGTTTTTGATGAAGTGTGGTTTACCGTCAAAGATTATTCGGAAATTCCTTCACATAGCTGGTTGGTGTCTTTGTATTTCTTTTTAATATATAGTTTTTTATCATCTAAAACTTTTGTTTATGTGAACAGATCTTCACGTTGATCCATATTACCTTGAATTAAGCGATCCAACATCGTTTTGTCATCATTATTCACCGAATTCAATACTAAACATTGCCGGAAGTTCGGTTTATTATCGGCACCATGTGATTCACTTTACCCTTTGACGAATTCTACTTTTGAATTTATGCGGTCGAACTTTAAAGATATAGACTTAATCGTATATACCGGTGATTCCGTTAGGCATGATAAAGATAAATCATTTAAGCGAACCGAAGAACAGGTTTTGGATGGTCATGGAAGAGTTGTGCAATATTTTCTAATGTATTTCGATTTATCAAGAATTAAATT